TTGTCAAGAGCAGTTGCACAGTACACTACATTTGAAACACTTATTGAAACACTTAGACAACCTGGAGCTAAGGAGGCAATACAGTATTTTCAGACTGCATTTGTGGGTTCTATTGGTCCTCGGGAAGTTTTTACACCGACAAGTCTGAGTTATGCTAGGTTTCTTGCAGCTGAAGGTGTCTTGTACCCTGGCAAGAAAGAAAACACATTTAAGATATCCTCTCCACTTGTGCTCTCACTGATTATATTGCAAGTGATCCCTTTTGTATTCCCAAGTGCTCCGAAAATGGGGATTCCTAGGCGGAATGATGGGTTACATGTAATGGACACTCTCCAGGTCTTGAAGGAATGTGTTTGTGCATTCGATAAGGATACTATTCGTGCAGCACGTATTCAGTCATTTAAGATAGCAGAGACAAAGGTGGCTGGTAGATTGGGAGTGATGGTCCCTCGAGAAACTGTTTATGATGCTGAGTTGAATCGTATCCTTATGAATTGGCTTGTTGTACATGGAAACTTTCAAATTGCTGGACAATGGTATACTAATACTAAAGAGTGTCTTGTTGGTCAAAGGAGAAAAGTTAAAAACCGGTATTGTGACCTAGTCATTACACCCGAATTTGATTCCACGGCATCCATAACAATCAGACACCCTGGAGTCCTCCTTGAGCTTATAGCTTCAGCAGATGAGAAAAATCTTGAGGAACATTTTGAGCGAGCGCAGAAGTACGGGAAGATGATTGGCATTAATGAGGTTTGGGTGGTCCATTTCACGTGTCAGGAAGATATTACTACTAAGCCTCACTGACAATCTGACAATCAGAAGCTGGCAGGCCTTAATGTTGTTCACTTTTGGCATGATCGTACCTTTGATAATGTTGATATGATTGCTCGTTGTCTAGATACCAATGGCACAGTTAGTGATATTAAGCCTGAAAGAATAGTTCGTCCTAGCGTTCTACATAGCATTCGTAATTTCTTTTCATACTACACGTAAAATGCGGTTTTTAGGGACCCCGGGATTTACATACATACTCAGCTATAACTTTCATTGCATTTTCCCTTGATACCTTTTGTATTATTGGACAAAATAAAAAGACCGCCGTTTGTCACCATGCTACCTTTCGCTTCCGACAACTTTCTCCTATTAAAATAAACGTCCATTATCAATATATTTGTTCACTGCAGTGCACTCAACTCAACTGCAGTGCACTCATACGTATTCTGTTCGACCTCTACTGTAAGGACAAGTCGGACCGACATGCAACGTACTGGATCATAATAAACTCATTGTAAGTGTGCATCATTATGATATCAATTCTTCTTTTATTACATATTACTAAGCTATACTCATTCACTCTCGCGCAATGCCAGATAAATCCCTTCAAATGTCATCTACCTCTACGTGGGTCCCCCATTGCTACCGTCAAAAAACCACTACATAAAAACGAATGATATCGCTATGTTTACCACATACATACGGTACATCAGCCAAACACAGAAAACAATTACCCCGCTGCGATCCAACAATACATAAAACTGACCAACTGTCGTCAGAGTTACAGATTTTATTGTTTTATTGTTTATTTTATTTGATTCATGCTGCATGTTATGTACCATATAGTTATCATTATATTATTTAAATAAAAGCAGATGTATCCCCATCTATCATGATGCCATGAGTATAATAAAATCTTGTCGACGCTTGTGTTTGTAATTTGAACTCAAAATTTTCAGTCTTATGCCATTAACAAAACTTCTACCATCATTGAATAAACAAATAATTCCTTGTCACGCGCTTAACCGGCTGGGATTTTATCAAATAAATAACACAAACTGCTATCACTCTTCATGTATTTCCTTTTTGGAATTAAAGTTAACAAAATTCTTAACTAAAGGGCAAAGCCCCCCAAAAAAGAATTCCCTACCTAGTTGGTAAAAACAATTGATCATTATCATTTTTGAATACATTTTGGGGAAGGTGCTTATTTTCGGAGGTAAAAATTTTGGGGAGGTGCTTATTTTCGGAGGGTCTTATTTTCGGTAACATCTCTATCAAATCGGTACACAGGCGAATCTGGAGAAAGAGGAATCGGGTTGTGCGCTAAGTCCCTCCTACGATTTGTAATACTCGCTTCGCGAAAAACAAAAATTGAATTCCGTTACAGGTATATGTGTAAGTCTAAAAACCTAAAAGCATTTAGATACATTAATCTTTATAATAATCGACTAAGTTGTTTAAATGGATTTAAATAGACAGATTTATGGACGTTACACCCGAAGAATATTGCTGGATGCCACGAAACTCCTAGAAAGTGGAAACAACGAATTTGGTCTCGCTTACAATATTTCAGAGAAAATGATCTTTTACCGGATTAGAGTAAAAGATACCTTGAAGCTAGGAAATTAATACGATTGCCGAATGGCAATTCATACGCTCCTGAAATCGGAATATCAATCTGTTTCTCTTGTGACCGGTTAATATATACTGGACAAAGAAAGAAAAATATAGGAAATTATGACCACATAGGAATGGAGAGACATTGGAAATTTTCATGTGTCGGAAATAAATACTGTGGTGTAAATTACGAAGAGTATTTGAAAATTAAACAAAAATCCAATTTTAGATATAATTATGATGATGAATATGCATTACATCGTTATGAGCTATGGGAATGCAATGCAATCAGAAGACTCAAACGGGCAAGGGAAATTGGTAAAAAAGATTCAGGCGTGTATAAAGTTACAAAGGAAGATCGTGAAATGGATTTATCGCCCTGATGGATTCAATGTTCAGAAACTCGCCTTACACTATGCATGTTTACAAAATATTAGAGCAGAAATGCGCCAGATTAGTAACGTACCTATTTAGCGTAAACCATTATTTGCTCTACCCAAAGGGCAGCTTACGTCGCCTCTATTCCTCTAATTTCAAAGCATGATCCCAACCCAACCGAATATAAAAAGGATCCTCTTTTGCTCTAGTCAAGTCAATTACAATGAACTGCCGATCTTGCAAATTCTTATCGATTACACGTACATCAACAGCATTACGCCATTTTTTTGTATAACGTCTAAACATACCAGCTCCGTTAAAGAGCACAATATAATCTAAAATTTTCTTATTAATCGAAAAAACTCCGAGTTACGTAGATTGAACTTATGCTGGAGTGACGTCCCTCGGTAAAATAAGGAATGATTTTTTCCTGTACCTTTTTAGGTTCACTGCATAAATCTTCGAATATAACCACCGTCCCTCTTTCAGTCGATTGTTGGAATTTTGTCAAACGGAATGTAACATTTTCGCGATATGGCTTTGGACTATTCGCAATGATTTGGTAACAATCCCTCAAATGGCGATAGTTGTGTTCCTTAAGATGATGTCCAATCAACAATAGATCATCATTGCGTATTCCGCCTTTTTTTCCGATACATCTTGTCTCCAAGTAGAAGACTGACAATCATATTCGTTTTTTCTGATTTTGTTCGTCCGTTGACCAGTAAATTGAAAGGCCATTGGGGTGTCGAATTAAGACCGTTAAACCTCTCTGCGGATAGAATATTTGAATCTACTGGCGACATCTACAACGTTAAGAACCCATTTGAATATCTTTTTATGTACTTTATCATTGGTAAGACGCAACAGATCACACTGATGCACACACTGTGGGCGTGAAATTTTACCGTAAACTGACTCTTGGAGTATCTTTCGGCGGTGGAGCGTATTTTTGCCATTCATTCTGGTTTATGAGCCAGTCACGCACTTTCTCAAATGGAAATGGAAATCCTTCCCGCGTAAAATCCTCCCATAAGCTCCGAGGATTAGAGTGATACCCAGTGGGTTGGCAGAACATTAGCCCACAACATAGAGCTATTTCCTCATCAGGATTTATATATACAGTAGAAACGCTCATATTATCAAATACTAGAATAACTCCAAATAACCCACCCCATATCCACTCTTTCACCTTTTTCTTATTGTATTAAAAAATAATAAAAAAACTACCCATTATTAATTAAATATACAAATATTACGAGAATAAACTCACCAGGGCGCAGCCCCCCAGAGACTTTCTATTGTTATGTCTGACGTAGGTGAACAGGCAGATGGAAGCAAAATATTACAGGGGAAGTCATTCGCTCGTGAATTCTTGCAGACAAAATATTTACAAGATGTAACTCTAATACAGAGATAACCTAGCCTAAATATACAGAACTGGGTTATACGTTTACGTTTACCCCCTGATTTTTTCCTTTTTGGTTCTGTCACATTTTTATAGCGACATACGTCTTCTTCCATTGATCCTTCGCAGGCTAGCACCACACCAGGTGCTGCACCAGCCGCTGCCACAGAGGCCGTGCTTGTTCACTCTGTTTCTATTACTATGCCAGATACAACGGTGACAGTGGAACGTTACATGAGTTGCTGGAAGAGTAGGTTTCCAGGCTACAAGCATTGGGGAACTGAATACTAGCGTTCCGAGTCTAGTCTTACATTATTCCTCTATATCTTTTTGTCTGTTAACATCTTTCTAATGGAAGAAAGTCTTGCCGATGATCCAATCCTACCAGACAGCACAGACGAGTCAACTGAATATTAATATCCTGACCAGTCACAAAAACAGGTAAATTAAAATTGATTATGAGTTATAAAACCGGCTCAATGCGCTAATTGACTTTAACTCTTGAAGTACAAATGACAGATATACAAACTCCTAACACGCTCTGCAGCGACTCGGACGATGAAGGATACGAAGAGTTGACATTGAGTTTCCCTACGCAAAGTGTAAGATTTTCACATCGAATCTCGCATCCTCTGGCTACGAAAGGTTATACGATTTCTGGTACAACACTCTATGGTTGTGTGCTGGTAGCTACGTCTAGACATTGTTGCGGACATAACACTTCATAGAATGATTGCATACAGGCCTGGCCTAATATGAAGATGAAATGTTCGAACATGTGGTATAAAACAGGTTGGTATTATGGTGATGTGTACATTTGGATACTCTTGTTTACTTAGATTACACAACTATACTTTCAGCTTAAGATTCTTCGCAAGGTCGATGACCATCCTCAGTTCCTCGGAATGAGTGAGGCTGATGACGCAGTATATACACATTTGACGGAAGCGATGCCGGCGCACGATCTGACGAAGCCATCAGTTGGGGGAAAATCAAAATGACTGTTGAACCAGTAAAAGTTATGAATGTAAATACTATGTGGAATTTTGTAGTTTCTGACTCTTCTTTCTTCGTCAGGTGTACGCGGATGCTACTATATTGTTTCCATTGATCGTCCCTGAGACGTTTGCTAAACACTTTCACGAGAAAAGATGGTCTAATGAGAAGATGCTATTAGAATTTTTAATGCGTTATGCATATGTAGGCGTTAAGTAATTAAATACTGTATATGTATAACGTCCTTGGACGTGTTTATTCAATTATGACATTTCATCAGAGTTATCAGGCAATTGTACCGATCGAAAAGAATAATTTAACGACTGCCACAATAATAAATAAATGAATCGGTATCGTTTGAATTTATTTAATACATTTATTACAAAGGACAAGTATTGTGAGAATGGGAGGAATTTCATTGTTGCGTTCAAAGCTAGTCCTCGTAAATGCGATATTGTATTGTACCACACTTACATATTGCAAACCAACTTTTTAATAGCTTGCGATAGTTGAAATTGTTAGTATTAATAAAGGTATAAAAATAAAGGTCGTATACATTCAAAGCTTATAATTAATTACATTGTAAAAAGAACATAATTTTATTTATTTACGTGTAAATACTTAACGCCTCAGCCAATGGATGAGGAGAGTTCAAACCCAATATTAATAGTATGATTGGATGGTTAACTTGAGTATAGTATGCAGTAAAATTGCAGGTTTTGTTAGGAGGAGAAGAGATACGATTACAAGTCGTAAAAGAGATGTGGTTGATATGACATAAAGTTTGAGATTAACGTACACAAAGGAATGTTGATCTACGGAGCACATCAATAAAGGCGGCAACAAGAACAACTTTACAGTAAATCTTGAGCCCACTGATCGTTACAAGTCAGAGAAGCGAGCATTTAGAATCTTGGTCGGATTGTTGATAGAATTTGTAATATGTCTCAAATAGTTATTGCTCTTTGGAAATAGTCTTCAGGATTTTTTATGTAGCTTTTCTCATCAGTTTTGCTTTAAAATAAATAGTCAAAGAGAGCCTAGTCAGGACTATAAAGAGATGGCAAATAATACAATTTGTTCTTCTTGACAATTTTCATGACGACTTCTGATAATGTTGCTCTTACTCGTTATAGATAATGTGACAATTGATATCAGTCGCTGTCTCTGGTGCGGTTAACTAAATACTTTACTAGTGTATGTACACAAATGAAGCGACATAATAATAGAACAGATAAAACGAGAAGCCAGGCCATCTTCATACTGTACATCCTATTAACTTATCCAAACCATGCCATGTTCGATATTCGTACAATTTTTCAACTAGTTAATATTGATAAAATAAAACGCCGCCATTAATGTTGTGTCTGAGTTCGGGACCTGTCTCATTCAGAACCCAGTAACTCGTTCCAGAACTGAGACAGGTCCCAACTGAGATTAACATTAACTACAATTCTATACTATAAAACCAAAAAGTCAACACTGCCATAGTGGATGCCACTGAGGACAATCATGGGCCTGTCTACTTCAAAATACAGATATCTAAAATAGATAATGTAACTGTAATTATAATACATCGTATTTTTATATTTATATGTGGGGGCTTAAAAGCGCTTCGGCATGCCTAATAACTCAATTTGCACCACCATAATGGGTGTACCAAATTAAACTCATTCATCAGGGAACCATGTATGACAATCTTTGCTATATTTAACTTCCGTACTAAGTGATTTGGTGGATAAATAACGGTCTGTAGCCTGTGGATGTCATTCTCCCACACCTGTTTCGAGTATTATTACTTTTATTTCAAGAGTTTGTTGATGATTATATAATTTGTTCAGTTTATTCGCAATTACAAACCAATTTACAATTGCCAGATATAAGTCTAATGTCGCAATAATAATTATATCGTATTGTTTACTTTCTACTGTTATTATTTATATTATTCAATGGAGAAGACAATGCCGGTCTTAAAGCAACTCAGCCCCATTGGTCCTCGTCCCCATATTTGATAGTAAAATATTCCGTCAATAATTTGCGGCAACGTAACCATTATTGTTGCTGTTCTATCTGCTATTGGTACTATTCCAGTCCGTAACGTGCTGTAATATGTTCCATTTGCAAAGAAAAGATCGACTGCTATAATGTCGCTTATATTCGAAGTTTTAGCATCGACAATAACCTTCTGGTTGGATCCACTCTTGAATTTTTCGCCTCCACTTGGATAAGTGATACCGAAATTTGTTACCGACAAAGCTATTGTTTAGTTTCATAATATTGGTTTAGTAGTCTTCGGAATAAACAGCTAATTATCATCTACGCCTTTTCTGTTAATACCCACCAGGACAACTTGTTTGGTACGCAGGAACAGCCGCGACTGTTGTAATTATTACGAGAGCAACTGTCATCAACAAGGCAACGATAGCGCTTTTGTTAATCATTTTTTATATTTTTCTAGTGTTATGTAATTCGCAACCTTGTCTTATGAATCAATGAAGGAAAGTTTCGAGCAGAACAGCACGAATATATATATATATTTGTGCTGCGTATTGCGCGTACCATGTCTTAGTGTTAATGCGTTACGTCATTGGATGCTAAACAAAAAAGCAGAAACGTGCTATATATATATTAAATCTCGATGTCTAACCTTCTATAACGCATTATGTTTACCTTTTCCCTATGTAATAGTAATATTAGATAATTAAACAATTAGTTACGCTATAAATGAAACGATGTTCATGATCAAGCCTAATAAGTATTTACTGTTAACAATGTTGCTAATTTTACCGAGTGAATAATCTAATTGATTCTTTTAATATTGTGCGCTGATTTGATCGCTAAATTTGGAAGGTATCGTGGTTAGTCCCATGCTGTCCAAATGCGCCATTCTTCCTATAACCCAAGTTGTAATATTTTTAGTGTTAATGGCTGGCTTATTGCAAATAAGATTATTGGTATATTTTATAATTAAAGATATGAATGAATATTTACTATGCAAATCCCGTTTGGGGTCCCTAAAAACCGCATTTATCTATGTAAATCCGGGATTTACAGTGACGGGATTTGCATACAAACAAATACATACCCCAAGATACACTACACAGGTTACTATTTATTGCTAATGCAATCATCATTTGTTAATTTAAAAACTTCCGCTAATTTATTTGTAATATGCAATTTGCTGTTCCATTCCGACAAACTATTGCGGGAAGGGCTGCGATTTGCTTGTTGCTCGCTTTAACTTCTTGTGCAAAATGATTTTCAATAGCATTAA